CAACAGAGAGCAGGAAAGGGGCATAGCAATGTATTTTCACAAATATATGCATGCCTCGATCCTCGTGCCACCAATCACGCATATCGAGGCATGATGGCCGAGGAGTCGAATTGCACAATTTAATATGAAATGAATGCACATGAAAACAAAACTAAAACCTAACTCCATCATGGATAATCCGGAGTGTCGGTGACTGGGGAATTGAGACACGTTCCGTCACTCGGAGTACGAAACGCACCTCGTTTCCCGTGCCCGGGCTAACTCCTATCCCGAACATGATGCAATATGTATGACATGCATGAAATGCAACTAAGATACAATCCTAACATACACAATGTTATGGAATGGCATACATGCTGCACGAGGTAATATACAACCGGGCATACACAATGCTATGGATGGAATGGCATACGCAATGCAATAGTGGGCTTACACCAACATGAGAGAGCCTTAGCCACACTCACATAGGAGGCCATCAGATGAAAACAAGACAACTCGAAATGCGTGCACGCTTGCACGCAAACCGAGAACCGACCCTCAGGCACCGAAATGCCACTCTAATGAGACATGGCAAAGACATGGAATATGATATGCAAACATGCAAAAATAAGTAGCAAAATGAGGGGGAAAACAGCCCCGAAACAAGGCGAAATGACACCCGATGCATGGAATTCCTCCCGAAATGCAGAACTAAGTACATGAAATGGCTTACAGCTATACAAAGCATGCATAATTGGTACATGGAATGAAAAGACAGAAGCAAGGCAGCCCCAAAATAAGCACTTTTACAGTTCAGAGCATGGCCAAACAACAAACAGAAATAGGGCAAAGCTAGCATGCAAGAAATGGCCCTAAATGTGAGATAAAGAAGCAACTCACAGATGCTGTCCCCAAACAGATTAGGGCCCTTCAACAAAGTTGAAGAGGGGCCCAAAACATGATCTTTTACAGTTCTGGAAATAGCCCAAAAACAAACACAGGTATGGCTAAGCCCTCATGCAAGAAATGGGCCAAAAGATGGCCAAAGAAGCAAGTGGTGGTTGCTGGCCTTAAAAACAAAGGGACCCTTCAACAACATTGAATAGGGGCCAGAAATAATGCATTTTACAGTTGATGGCCGGACCCAAAACAGTATGCATACAAGTCAAAAATATTATGCAAAAATATGGCAAAAAAGAGAGATATAACACAAAGTATATAAATGATGTCTCAAACAGTGAAATACCCTCAATGAAACATGAAGAGGAGGCCAAAATAAGACTTTTTTCAGTTCTGAAAATTGCCAAAAAAAGGAAGCACAATAGGCTAATAAATCATGCAAAAATGGGGACCAAAGAGGGGTATAATGACAAGTGGCACATGGAGGTCCCAAACAGTAATGAGCCCTTCTTCAATGTTGAATAGGGGCTCAAAATAAGTCTATCTACAGTTTACATCATGCTCCAAAACAGATCACATATAGGCCAAAAATACTATGCAAGATTATGGCATACAAGAGGGATAATGAAGAAAGTGCAAGATGGGGACCTCAAACAGTGAGAGGCCCTGAAGAAAAAGTGAAAAAGAGCTCAAAAGAATGCCACTTTCAGTTAGGGCCGGAGCTCAAAACAGCAAGCATGTATGGCTTACAAATGATGCAAAAATAAGCCAAAAAATGGGGAAATGGTACTCACCCTTGAAGACAAGTCTTTGGTTGCTTCTTGGCTTGAGAAGTGATGCCTCTTAGATGCTGGAAAGCTCCCCAAGCTGCTGGAAATAGAGTAGTGGTGGTGATGCTAGGTGGTGATGAAGAAAAGGTGGTAAAACTTGGATGTTTTTTGCTTGAAAAAGAGAGATGGAGGGAGATTTGTACATCAAAGCTTGAAGGCAATTTCTTCCAACCCTTATGACCAATGCTGGAGGCTGGTTATATGGACCAAGGAGAGGGAGAAATGGAGGGGAAAAGGTGGGGGAAAAAGGACCATGTTTTCCCCCAAAAGCTGTCCCCCGGATACAGATATTTTTGGGAGAAAACAGCTATACAGCTGTAAAGTACACACCCTGAGGAGAGAGGCCGGCCAGCTTTTGGAGCTGTAGGTGGCCGGCCGGCTACCTCCCATGGCCGGCCGGCCAAGGGTCAAAAAGGTCAAGAAGATTTAGTGGCCGGCCACCACAGATAGGTGTCCTCCCAGATGCCCTCAAGACAACCCTGTGGTTCAAAATTGTTAACTGTAAAACAGGAGAGAGAACAAGCCATTTTTAGGAAGGGGTCAAAAGGATCAGGTGGAATTACTGGCCGGCCACCAACTTTTAGTGTCCTCCCATTTGTGTACAACACAAATATGTGGTTAGAAGTTCAAGAAAATGGCCCAAGGTTGTTCAACATTGGCTTGGAAGTGAGAAAAACGGGCGTCGGAGGGCGCCAGAGGAATATAACTGGTTACTGAAACAATTGCTGGCCTCCCACCCTTCTACGGCCTTCCTGGTGATGAAACAGAGGTACCTGCCAAAAATGAATGAAAACCAATGCAAAATGAATGCTCGGGGGCCAAAACGCGCAATTCGGGGCCCCGAAAACTGCCTGTTAGGCACCGAAAGTGGTATTCGATCACGAAGTGGGTCTCTCAGACCTCAGTGTCCCTCAAAAGGGGGTAAATAAGAAGCATGCAAAAAACCGGGGCAAATGGAGGTGGTTAGGCGGTCCCGAACCGAGGCACACGGCCAGCGGTCCCGAAAAACCGGAAACCGGGCTCTAAAATGGGCAAAATGGCCTACGACCACGAAACGTAGCCCACGACCACTGAGAGATGATCTACGGGACCTCTCCCTCCCCTCAGGAAAAGAAACAGAGAAAACCGAGTCTGGTTCGCAAGCCGAGGCAAGGCACAGAAGAGGGTTCGGAAGTCCGGAGGCAGGGCTCATGGCCGCGACTCTGAAACTTCTGAACGAGCACGATATGCAACATCACCAAGCGCTCAATCGGTGATGTCTGAGTCTTAAGGTCGGTCAAAAATGGGGTGTCTACAGTTGCCCCTCTTTGACAGAACTCGGAAGTCACAAGTGACGGGAGTGAATGTCAAAGCCCAGAGACGACCCATTTTTGACAAGGCCGAAGACTTAGACAAACGTACAAGATAAACAGAGATGTGCCTGCAGGCATGCCCGCAGGCAAAGGGGGCAAAATGCAAAGCGATATGCACAGAGCCGGAAGTAACTCAATGATCATGTAAATGCAGCAAGCTGTAATGAAGCAAGTATTCGCAAATAGATGCAACAGTTTTAAGCGAGAATGCAAAGCAACAACTACATTTCATGCAGTTAAGAATGCGAAGAATTATTCAATCCTCGCCACGTCTCACACGGAGAAGATACGATACCTGCGCGATTCGTCTGGTCGCACCAGCCTCAAATGAACCGTACATACAATATCGTGCATGCAAAAGAGAGAAATTCAACAAGCACAATATGCTACCAATATATATTCAATGTGATTCCGAAAGTTTGACACATGCAGTGCCGGTGAGTGAATGCATCGCGATGCGAGAAAGGAACGTGCGTGTCAACGCATGCTCAAGCACAGAGGTATGGCAATATCAAGAAATGTGCATAATAATGCAAGTATGCTCATGAGAATGCAAGTTATGTGTATGATAGTGCAAAACGAGCATAAATCAAGGTGCTCGTTTGTTACGAAATAACAAGCACGGAAACGCGTGTTTCGGCGAAGGCGACTCGATCACGGCCTCCAATTCACTTCCTGGAAAGGCTACAACACATTCAAAAAGGATACGCTTTGATTTCGATGAATAATGATGAGACACATGTCAGAACTTGAAGCTGAAGTTCCGGCGGAGCAATTTCGCGACAGAAAGTGCACTTTTCTTGAACTTTGTCAGGTCCCGGGAACTCCGATCTTCCTCAAAATTTGCAGAGAGCTAGGTGAACATGTGGGGAACATGGCCGGCTAGTTTTATGGAGAGGGGGAGGTGGCTGGCTAGTTTTCAAAAAAGAGAATGGCTGGCCAGCCAGAAAAGGTGGCCGGCCGGCCACCTGCCCAAATCCGTGGGCAATTCGGTCTTTTCACCTTCTTTTCTTTATGCTCTCTCACCCAAACACTTTGAGCCTATAAATTCAGCTATGAAATCTTCTCCTCTTGCTTCCCAAACCCTTTTCTCCCTCAGATCTGAGCTCCATACGCGTTTTCCAACGCCCCACGCAAGTTGTTTTCGCGAAAACATTCAGTTTCAAGCACTTTGAACCGATTAAATTTTGGTTTCGGGGCTTCTTTTCTCATTTTCGCCACTTGAGGTGAGTTTGTCTCAATATTTGGAAGATTTTCTCGGGAGTTGACTTTTGTTGACTTTTTCATTTCCCGAGAGTTGACTTTTGTTGACTTTTTCCAATTTTGGCTCATTTTCGTTCATTTTTGCTCCTTTTGCAGATTTTCCGAAATGGCGGGTAATTCTCCTCGTGGTGGAGGTTTTTCGGGTGCCGGGGATGATTTTGATGTCATGACTTTCCCCCCGAGGGTTCGCCCCTTTATTCCCGGGAGGTATGCCCCGCCAGCACATGTCCTTCCCAGTGCCATTTTTCGTCACTTTACTGATTTTGATGATCGAGCACCTGGGGATCTACTTCTGCGAGAGCCAGAGCATCACCTCTCCTATGAGGCACGAGAGGTATTTACTTCATTTTCTATATTTTTCGTGCATTTCGTGCCTTTGCCATGCTTGAACACACAGTTTAGCTTATGACATAGTACTTTGTTTGCATCCTGGACATGTAGCTTAAACACTTGAATTTCTGAACACTCGGCTCATTAATTGATTGCGAACGCACGGCACGCATTAGTTAAGAAGTGGACACACGACTCAAACACTGATTTATCGAACACACAGCCCGAATTTGAAGGTGAACACACAGCACACACTGACTAGGAGTAGAACACGCAGCTCAAATTGAAGGTGAACACACAGCCCACATTGATTGAGAGTAGAACACGCAGCCCAGATTGATGGTGAACACACAGCCCACACTGATTAGGAGTAGAACACGCAGCCCAAACTCCGATTGTGAACACGCAGCCCACATTTGATTGAAAGTTGAACACGCAGCCCAAACTCCGATTGTGAACACGCAGCCCACATTTGATTGAAAGTTGAACACGCAGCCCAAACTCCGATTTTCTGAACATGCAGCCCAAATTTGATTGTGAACACGCAACCCACATTTGATTGAAAGTTGAACACGCAGCCCAAACTTTAATTTTCTGAACACGCAGCCCAGATTGATGGTGAACACATAGCCCACACTTGATTGAAAGTTGAACACGCAGCCCAAACTTTAATTTTCTGAAATCTGAACACGCAGCCCAAATTTTATTGTGAACACGCAGCCCACATTTGATTGAAAGTTGAACACGCAGCCCAAACTTTAATTTTTTGAAATCTGAACACTCAACCCAGATTGATGGTGAACACACAGCCCACACTTGATTGAAAGTTGAACACGCAGCCCAAACTTTAATTTTCTGAAATCTGAACACGCAGCCCAAATTTGATTGTGAACACGCAGCCCAAACTGATTGAAAGTTGAACACGCAGCCCAAACTTTAATTTTCTGAAATCTGAACACGCAGCCCAAATTTGATTGTGAACACGCAGCCCACAGTTTGATTGAAAGTTGAACACGCAGCCCAAACTTTAATTTTCTAAAATTTGAACACGCAGCCCAAATTTGATTGTGAATATTTGATTGAAAGTTAAACACGCAGCCCAAACTTTAATTTTCTGAAATCTGAACACGCAGCCCAAATTTGATTGTGAACACGCAGCCCACAGTTTGATTGAAAGTTGAACACGCAGCCCAAACTCCGATTGTGAACACGCAGCCCACATTTGATTGAAAGTTGAACACGCAGCCCAAACTTTAATTTTCTGAAATCTGAACACGCAGCCCAAATTTGATTGTGAACACGCAGCCCACATTTGATTGAAAGTTGAACACGCAGCCCAAACTTTAATCTTCTGAAATCTGAACACGCAGCCCAAATTTGATTGTGAACGCGCAGCCCACAGTTTGATTGAAAGTTGAACACGCAGCCCAAACTTTAATTTTCTGAAATCTGAACATGCAGCCCACAGTTTGATTGAAAGTTGAACACGCAGCCCATTCATTTCATTTGCACGCAGCTTATACATCACACTTTGAACACACAGCTCACACATTTCACTTGTGAACACGCAGCTCTTTCACTTTATACTGACACATGTATTCATTCTGAATGCAGGTTGGTTCTCGCAGTGTACGTGGATATGGCTCCACCGCTGCGAGGGATTGGTATGTTGAGCTCCCGGAGGCTGTCCGGGATTTAGTAGATCTGGCAGGGTTCGGGGCCTTCTGCGTTGGGTTATCGCGTTGTCCCGCCAAGAGGACACTGATGGCAGCTTTGGTGGAGAGATGGTGGGACACCACCAACTCCTTTCATTTCTCTACCACTGGGGATTTGACTATGACCCCACTGGATTTTGCTGTGTTGACCGGCCTGGACATAGGAGGTTGGTCCATTCCTTATGATGAGGACATGGGCGAATGGGAGGCCGCTTGGATACATCTGCTGGGGGCCCGCGCCGCCTGTTGACAGAGCCTCCAGGAGAGTTCGATACACTTGGTTCTCTTCCCACTTCCGGCGGGCGGAGATGGAGCCCGGGACTCCTGAGGAGACAGAGCAGTATGCCCGTGGTTTTCTTATGTTCCTCTTCGGGACTACTCTGTTTGCCGATAGAGGGAACACGGTTGGGCTGTATCTGTTGAGCGCTCTGGTTGACCTATCACAGGTCAGTCGATACGACTGGGGTGGTGCCGGCCTAGCTACCCTTTACTGCTACATGAGTGCGACCTCCCGCGGGCAAGGAGATTTACTTGGCGGTTATTGGAGAGCCTGGGAGGTACTTTCTGTCCTCTTGATTTACATTTCTGCTCCTCATTACTTGTACATTGCATACACAGCGCACTTTACAGTCTGTATTTTGCCCTAAATACTTTATACTTACATTCTGCACTGCTTTTCTCAGTTATGGGTCTACGTATATTTCCCGACGTTAGCCCCAGAGTTGGAGGTGGCAGGGCCCCTCATGACCCCGTATTCACTGGTATTCGAGGGCCAGCACCGGTCGAGACCCCGAGAGACTCTCTTTTATCTACGGCAGTATTTTGACACTGTGCGACCGTCGGAGGTATTTCAAAACTCTCGGTCCCTTCTATTTTCATCTTTGATTGGCCCCGCATATTCCCGATTTCTAATTGGTTTATGCACTTGTTATCCGCAGATTACATGGCAGCCCTGGGCGCCCTTGGGTGATGGTCTCCGATTTCAGTATGCCGGAGAATCGGGCACCTCCCAGTACAGGGTCCTACTCAAAGGACCGGTTGGTAGAGCATGGTTTCTGGGGGAGCGCTTTCTGCGTCAGGTATGGGGGTACACTTCTCAGGACCCTCCCGCAGCACCCCCAGCCAGTATGCGGACTGCTGATAGGCTCTCTTCCCAGGATGTAGTCGGTGCTATGCTGGGTAGTGATGCTTTGCTACATCTCGAGGAGGGGGATTACGCCACTTACCGTCATACATATCTGATGCCTCCATTGACGGGAGTTCGCACCCCGATGATGAGGTCTGCTGGTACGCCATCCTCGAGCCAGGCCCGGGCTCGGACTGCAGACGCCCCTTCCACCAGCAGGGCTGGTACATCTGGAGGTGGGGGTAGATCGGTTCCCCCGATTCCTCTGACTTATCCTCATCCTGGATGGCCAGATATGCCGACTGAGCTGATGGGGTGGCAGTATGGGACTACTTCTCCGACTCCGATCCCGATAGAGCCTCCGATGCCCGGTGATCGATATGCCATTGATCCCGACTCACCACTGGTATGCCCTATTGTTTTTCATCTATCATTCAAGCATTTAGACATTCCTTTATTCACTGATGATTATGAGCTCGTATTTGCAGCCACCCCGAGAGTACGTGGAGGAGGTGGTCAGATTGGTGGCCTCGCTTGAGGGGATGGTCCTGCGGAGGGAGGCACAGTTGTCTATCATGGGCTTCCAGGTACCCTTTAGTTTTCTGGAATTTATCATACTTCTGATGGCATACTGATTTCTACTGCATTGATAGGCTACTTGTGTAAAGCACATCTGACACACACCCCACTTGTACACTGTGTTTACATGCACTCATTTCATGTAGTTTTTGCTTGTATCCGAATCTGATGTACATATTTGGACTGATGTATTTGAATTGAACTCCTTATTTTCAGATGCCCCCGGTGTACGCTCAGCCGCAGGCCAGGCCACCTGGGCCTCCTTGGGGAGCTAGGCCATCTGGGCCCTTTCACGGAGCTGGGTCATCTAGGCCTTCTCAGGGAGCTGGGCCATCCAGGCCTTTTCAGGGAGCTGGGCCATCCAGGCCTTTCCGAGGAGCTCGAGGAGGGTCCTCTCGCAGACGTAGGGCACATGTTATAGAGGCGGAGCCTGATGAGGAGGAGGAGGAGGAGGTCACAGACCGTCAGTCAGAGACATCTGCTGAGGAGGACTCTGGTCTTGGTTCCGGGAGTGGAGACGAGGCTGAGGGGGATCCAGAGGACGACAGCTCCGACCCGGATGATGATGGTGATGGCGATGGTGGCGGAGAGTCTATTTCGCAGAAGAGGACGAAGAGGGCCTCTTATTACTGCTCTTGAGAGCACAGATGTAGCCGTTTCCTGTTTTATTTATCTTTTTGCTAGTAGTTATAGCACATTTGTACATTATCAGGCAGTTTATTTTCTGTAAAACTTGTGCCTTAGTCTATAAAATGTTGTAGCAAGCGAGGCATGATGGGATGAAACAGCTTTTGCAAAAGGTATTGTATTTTAAACACTTAGCATCATATCGCATTGTTCTGCATCAAAATGAGAATGAATGGAAGCGTGTATTGTGCATTTTGCCCAGTCAGGTAGTGAACCGACGCAACAACCTAACTTTCTAAGATATAAAAAAAATCTTAGCAAGTTTACAACTCAATAAGCAAAATACAATAGCGTTGACAACGCAAATAAACAAGACTTAAATAAAGATTGCTTAAATAGAGAGCAATGACTCAAAAACACGAAACACGACAGCTCGACAAACAACTCGATAAGCAAAACGACAACTCGATAATCAAAACAACAACTCGATAAACAAAACTCAACAACACAAAGTGTACTCCAGACGATCTGGGCGACGGAATGCATCCAAAACAGAGGGAAATGAAGGCCTTTGACTCTCCCGTTGCATGGAAATTCTTGAAACTTTCTCTCGGAGGGTAAAACAGGGCCAAAGAGATGCATTGGAGCATGGCCGGCCACCTTTGGGAGCCGGCCGGCCAGTTTTATTGGAGAGAGGGGGCCACCGGCCAGTTTTGAGAAAGGAATTGGCCGGCCTGCCAGAAAAGGTGGCCGACCGGCCACTTATCCCTGCAGCCGCCCAGTTTTTGACACGTGTCCTCCTGAATAGTGTTTTTCCCTCTTTAAAAGCCCTAGCTCCATGGTTCATTCAATTCACCCCAGTTTTGCATCAGAAATGGAGGCGTTTCTTGTTGAAAATCTCACAGCTTGGATCACTTCCCTAGATGGCTCGGAAAAGTTAAACTTCCGGGGTTACGGCTTGAATGCACTATTCACGCTAAGCCGCACTCCGTTGCACCTTCCTTTCCTCCATGCCGCGGCGAGGTTTTGGAACCCGGTGACGCATGTCTTCAGCTTTGGCGGGCAAGAGGTATGTCTGACTCTTGAAGATTTTCAAGTTTTGATGGAATCTGAAGGCCAAGAAGAGATCTTGCCCCAGTTTTGCTTCGGTCACACGCAGGCCTTGGGGCGGATGTGCGGACTCACCGCTCATGATGCTCGATCTCTGACCTGTAATGGGGAACTAGATATCCTTGGTTTGGTCCATTGCTTCTCTGACGCCGGTGACCGCAGCAACCCTTATTGGCAAGGTTTCCGGCAACACGCCCTCTGCTTGTGCTTGTTGTCCCACTTTCTGCTTTCCTCAGGCTTCGGCGGAGCTTGCATTCGTCTGATCGAAGTTACCCAAGGCTTGAGGGAAGGGAAGAGTTGCATCGCCATGACCCTGGCCGAGACTCTGATGGGCTTGGATGCTTTTCATCGCCGGGAGACGACTAGATTTGCTGGGAGTCCACTGCTGCTGCAGGTAATGTTTCTCACCCTGTCTTACATATGTATTTGCTCACATCACTCGGCCCTCAGGCTCGATTTTTTTCTCACAAAACCCTTGTCTTACTTTTCTCTCATTGCACGTCTCTCTATTCTTTATTCTCTCATTTTTCATCCCTCCCCAGGTATGGTTAATGGACAAATTGCAGATCGTGGACTCTTGCCCGGCCTACTCAGCGCGAGGCTATTTCTTTCGATAACGTCTAGTTGATGCCCTTGATAAAAGGTGGTGGTTTGACTGGATGTGCAATTTGTCTGCAGATCGCATTGCTTGGCGTTGTCCTTGGCTCAATCTCCCGGCAATGAGCTATAGCATGTCCCGATTGATCGGGATCCAGTTGATTGGTCTAACCCACTGTGTATTCTACTTTCCGTTCCAGTTCCTGCGCCAGTTCGGTCATGATCAGATCTGCCCACCAGAGGGGATTGAGTACCCGGCTACTTTCCCGGTCCGAGGTGAGCATTGCTTGGCGTTGCCCTTGGCTCAACCTCCTGGCAATGAGCTATAGTATGTCCCGGCTGATTGGGATCCAATTGGTTGGTCTAACCCACTGCGTATTCTATTTTCCGTTCCGGTTCTTGCGTCAGTTTGGCCATGATCAAACCTGTCCACCGGAGGGGATTGAGTACCCAGCTGCTTTCCCGATCCGGGGTGCACAGCTTGCCCGATATGCTACGGCATGGAGGACTAGAGAGCTCCTGGCCCCTGCTTCAACTTTCAGTTGCACCTTGTCCGATGAGTGCTTAGATTGGCTCAATGAGGAGGCACAAGTTGGGCCTAGCTTGGCATCAGATGCTCCGTCCAGCTCTGGGAGGGGACGCAGAGATACTTGATTCAACTATACCCCAAATTTATTGCTTATTTAGCATTTTCAAGTTTTCATTATGAATGTACCAAAAAAGCAACCTCGATTGTAATGCAAGAGCAGGAGAACTCTATTTTGAAATCAATGAAATTGAAAGTTGTGGTACTGAAAATTTTCCGCTTTTGGTCCAAAAAAGGTCTTAGTCGTAAAAAGATTGATCTGAACAAAGTCAAATTTTATTAAAACTTTTCAAAACTATTTTCGATGTGGATCAGAACTGGACA